CTGTAGCCTAGGTTGGTCTCGAACTTGGCACCGATCCTCCTGCCTCAGCCTCCTGAGTGCTGGGATTACCGGTGTGCACCACCACGCCCAGCTGAACTTTCTTGAAGAGTGTAGACCAAGTTATATTCCACATCTGGGATTTATTTCCTCATGCTTAGATTCAAGTCAAGGAGTTTGAGCAAGCACACAACCCAGCTGGTGAGGTGTACCTTCCACTGCACCAGACTGGGAGGCATTGGAGGTCAGAGTGGCCCACAGCTGAGGCCCAGTGGTCTAGCAAACCTCTTTGCTGCACAGGTGCTATAGAGGCCCTTTTAGCAACCAAGAGATGTGTTGACACATTGGCACTGAACTGCTCTCTGGCAGCCTTCTACCCGGTGGCTTTAGATAAACGACTCTTACCTATAGCAGTTTCTACAATGGCAGTTCGCAGATGGTGATTGTTTTAGTTACTTTTCTCCCATTGCTGAGACAAAATAGCTGACACCCAAAATTAAGGAAGGAAAGGTTTATTTAGCTCACAGTTTGTGGAGGTTTCAGTCCATAATCAGCTGGCTCCAAGGCAGGGTGGCATGGCAGGGGCAATACTTGAAGGCAGCAGAAGACAGCAAAAGCAACAAGAGCAAAAAGTGGGGAGAGCAAGCCTCTTTCTCTCCCTTATATTGCAAGCAGGCTACCACCCCCTAGGCCAGGTGTAGCACTCCCACCATCTCCAAGGTCATGAGTTCAACTCCTGGTACCAAAAAAATGTAAATCAGGTATCATCCTTCTGCTTCGTACTCCTCTTAGCTTCCTACTGTCCACAGACCCTGGTAAGGGTCTTTGCTTCTGCTCTGCACTATCCCACTTACCTCACACACGCCAGTCTCTTCTGGCCATCTCACCTCCCCCCCAAAACATAGGTCCCTGGAGACAGGGACTCTGCTTGTCTTGTTCACCCATGTGTCCTTAGCTCTTACGACACTATGTGCTCGGTAAATATTGGTTGACCAAAAGAATAAAGGTTGGAGCTCATAAGGGACAAGGGCCTGGGCAGGGTGGTCCCAAGGACTCCATGGACACATAACACCTCGGCCTGGGTCCTGGAGGGTGAGGAGCATGTCGAGGTGGAGCCCAGGCTCCTGCCCCACCCCCATTTCCTCTCCTTTACTTGGCCAGTTTCAACGAGACATTCCAGTTTCTGTTCTGGACCATGTTTGGCATGGAGGAGCACAAGGTGGTGGACATGCCTCAGTTTCTGGTGCCTGAATTCGTGGGCCGGGCCCTGTACGGCATCTTTACCATCGTCATGGTCATTGTGCTGCTCAACATGCTCATTGCCATGATCACCAACTCCTTCCAGAAGATTGAGGTGCGTGAAACCGAGGCCGGATTCGTCCTGGGAGGAGGGCGAGAAAGGCGCAGAGAGGAATAGGACACGAAGAGCAGAGACACCTGGTTCCTGCTCTGCCTCCACTGTTGTCTTATTCTGTGACTTTGCTCAAATGCTCCCCTGTAAAATGAGGGTCCCAGTGGTGTCAGTGTCTCCAGGCGCCAAGTGCAGTGCTCCTTCCACTTTCCGGGCAGGAGCAGTCGTGCAGTGTAGAAGAGTAGACGGGAGCATGGGAGGGCGAGGGAAGGAAGAGGATGGCTCGGGTTTTCAGGCTGGAGAGGAAGCCTGGCAGCAGCTGGAAGTTAGAGGGAAAAAGATAATGGGAGGGAGCGGGGAAGGAGACAAGCAGGGTGTGGGCGACGGGTGAGGTCGGAGATAAGGATGAGGACAGGAGAGCGGCTGGCACCCTGGGGAGTAAGAGGCGTAAGGTCTGGGGAAGGGAGGCAGATGGGGTGAGCAGGAGGGCCAGGCGACAAAATGGTCCTTGCACAGCCCCCTGCCTCCTGGCCCCCAGGATGACGCTGACGTGGAGTGGAAGTTTGCTCGCTCTAAGCTCTACCTGTCCTACTTCCGAGAGGGCCTCACCCTGCCCGTGCCCTTCAACATCCTGCCCACGCCCAAGGCCTTCTTCTACCTTCTCAGGTGATGACCTCAAGGCTCTCACCCCCAAACCCCAAGCGCCCAGCTCCCGCCCCGTTTCCTCAGCCCTGACCCCTCACAAACCTGCCCACCATCGAAACCTCCCAGGAGAATTTTCCGGTTCATCTGCTGTTGCTGCTCCTGCTGCAAAACCAAGAAGCCAGCCTACCCCTCAATCCCCACCTTTGTAAGTACCTCACCTGTTCGCTGTTGGTCCCCCTCACACCGGCTTCAGCTGCATTCCCCACGCTGCCCGCTTGCATGCTCTCCCCAGAAAGCCTGACCCCCTGCCCACTCTCTCGTGTGCCTTCTCTTCCCCTCTTCCTGGCTCTGGCCATTTCCTGAGTTTCTAATGCCGTGTCATGCAGCCTAAACAGAGGTCCATGCCCTCCTCCTGCCAACCGACAGGTACCCTCTACGCTTCAGATGAACTGTGCCAAGGTGTGGTAGAATGTTTTTAAGAAACATTAAAAAGCCGAGGTTAAATGCCCACCAGCTGGGAAATTAAAAGTCCCACAGAGACCTGAGAGAGGACTGTGTGCATCTAGGCTGCTCGCTTACCTCTCAGCGTCTGCACCCTGACCCAGTCTGGCTGGGCACGACAGCCCCTCCCTAGTTCAGATCACCAGGACTGCCGGGTGTGTACAGGGTTCTCGCTTTTCTCCTCCACCTCAAGCCTTCACCTCCAACCCCTGGCTCTGTCAGTCAGGTCTTCCCTAACTCCTGGTCCCTGTCCTTCTGCCTCCCAGGACTCTGCCGTGAGGGGGAGGTAGACCAGGGCCTACGTCTGTGACTACAAGAACAGGAAAGTCGGCACAGACCTTTCCTTGGTCTTTTGTTGCCAGAGCTGGACAGTGATTAGAAGAAGGCTGAGGGTGGAAAATCCACTAATCCCCGTCTTCCCATTTCAGGCCAACCCAGGGGCAGGGGCAGGGGCAGGGGCTGAGCCTGGGGAGGCAGAGCGAGGATCCTACCGCCTTCGTGTCATCAAGGCTCTGGTGCAGCGCTATATAGAGACTGCCCGGCGCGAGTTCGAGGAGACCCGCCGGAAAGGTCAGTTGTCCATCTCCAATCCTGTTGCTGGATCAAGTAAGAGCAATTCTCCACCCAGACCACACTCCTCATGCCACCTGCACATAGGGGGCCCCATTGGACTCGGCCCTTGGAAGCCGTGAGCTGCACAGTGCCGTCCCTCACACTCAGTAAGCCTCTGACCCACTCGAGTGTTTATTCATGCACTTCATTTAACCACTTCTTTTCCCTGCCTTGGCTCCTGTATTCACTTACTCTCTCATTCACTCATGCACGTATTTACTCATTCACCCAGCACTCACTGCTGTGCCCTCCCTTGTTCCAGGCTGTGTCTTGGAGGGAGGCGACTGTAAGAGCGAGGCTTGCAGTATAGGGAGAAACGATCAAACATCATGCTGGACAGGACGGGCTCAGCTAAGAGACACAGGCTGCAGTGTGAGCCCCAAGGACAGGAAGAGCTGTGGTTCTGAGAGGACTGGGAAGGGGCAAGCTGGGGAAGGGCCAAGTCGAATGTGAAGTGGGCCTGAAGGATGCGTAGGAGCTGGCCAGTAGAGACTGGGGCGAGGGCTGACGGGGGTGGATGTACAGACCCACACTCATTAAACACTCTCCATGTGACCCCCCACCCGCTTTCTGGCCCCGCAAGACTTTCTTTATACCACCTAAGGTCACTGCCTTCCCACCACTACTCACGTTCATATGCCCCAGATTCTGCGACCCACCTGACCCCTCATTCTTCCCAGCCCTCCGCCCTCAGAAGCCCCCAGGCAGTGTCCCTGGGGTACTGAGCAGGCTCATTTTCTGAAAGACCTCCCCTCAATGCTCTGCCTCCCCAGACCTGGGCAACAGGCTGACAGAGCTGACCAAGACCGTGTCGCGGCTGCAAAGCGAGGTGGCCAGCGTGCGGCGGACCCTGGAGACCGGAGGGACACCCCGGCCTCCCGATGGTGCCAGCATTCTCAGCCGCTACATCACCCGAGTGCGCAACAGCTTCCAGAACCTGGGAGCCCCCATCCCTGAGACCCCAGAGCTGACCATGCCCGGGACTGTGGGGACCCAGGACTCTGCAGAAACTGGGGCTCAGGCTCCAGGAGAGGCTGGGACTCCAGCTTCTGGAGAGGACGGGCTCTCCTCCCCCACTCATGTGCTGGTGCACAGGGAGCAAGAAGCAGAGGGGACCGGGGACCTGCACCCGGAGAAGGATTCGGGGACTGAGGGGGAGCCCTAATAGTGGAAAAGCCCCTTCTTCTGTTGCGGAGTCCAACAGCCTAGCCGAGCGGGGTGAGGGTCGCTTAGTAGGAGCCTGTGCTGCTTTACTTGCCCCAATAAAATTGCTGCTGTGGATGGCGGATGGCTCTGGAGCGGGTGAGAATCTGACTCTGGGTGCTTTCAAATCCTCCCTCCACCTCGGCCCCTCAGTGGACCCTGCGTGAGCAGGGCAGAGAGAAATGGCTTGCTCTGGGGTTCCGGTGACCTGGGCTCAGAATCATACTTTGGGCTTCCTCAGATCTTCAGTGCAAGCAGTTCTGAGCTAGCAGGCAGCAGGCTTGGGAAGGAAGACGCCTGGTTTTAACACTATCTGACCGTGAGCAAGCCGTGTCCCTCCTCAGCCTTGCATTCCTTGTCACACAGCCAGGCAGGGGAACCCATCTGTCCCCTTCCTGCCTTCCTGGTTGTTGCGAGGACCCTCTGGTTAAAGCTTCTGGGTTTGCAAGCTACAGCATGTGACGGGGAGCCATGTCTAGCGGTGACCAAGAAGTTACTCTTTTCAGTCCCTCAGGCCCTGAGCCCGGCAAGGGCAGATGGTCCAGGATCAGAGAATGAGCCAGTCATCAAAGTCCACGTCTCCACACTACAACACTGTTTAATTGGGTGGTCACCACAGTACTTCCCATTTGTCCCAGAAAGTCCCCACCACACCGCAGGACTCCCGCAACCCTGCCACGGCCTCAGTCTCCCCAAAGCCGGACTGGGGAGATGGCTGCTTGGGCTAGGTCCGGAGCCATGCGCTTGCTTCTTGAGGCCATTTGGAGCCCCTCTTCACAGGAAGCTCACCAGTTCCCAGGATTCCTAAGGGACAGTGTTGGGCTTTCAAGGCCCAGCTCCTGAGAGCTGGAACCTCCCAGGGCCCAAGAATGGGGTCTTCCAGGAGAGCAGAGGGAAAGCTCTTTCACTGGGCGGCTCTGGCTGCCCTACGGCTGCAGAAAGAAAAAGAAACAGTGAAGGGGTCAGAAAGCTGCCGGGGAACTGAAGCAGCTGACAGAGGAGGCAGGAGGAGACCCACCTGGTACGGACACACAGTCCCGCCTCTTCTGCCCTGCAACAGACAGCTGAGTGAGACGGTGCCGGATATCCTTCCCACTGGGGGGGGGCATTCCCCCTCTCCATCTATCTTTCCCTTCACCTAAAAACAAACTTCTGACTTCCCTTCCTCCACCCGTCCCCAGGAAGTCTTTCCTATTGCCTGTCTACCCTGCTCCCCCCCACACCCAGTCACTCTTCCATTCAGTCCCCCTCTCAGCCCTCGGGAACAGCACATTTGGGTCCTGTCAACCCCATGAAGCCCAGGGCTTCCTGAGACCTAAAGCTTTAATCCTGAATCTTTACTCTGTTATCCAACTTCCTTAACCAGGCTCCTTTGGTCTAGGAGACTGCATAGCAGATGGAACTTTTTGAAAACATATAGGCTCATCTGAGAATATTTGTGGATCTAGAAAAATGCTTACAGGACCTGGTAGACCCTAATTCTCAGAGGACAACTGTAGCTCACTTCTAGCCTCCAACTTTCGCCATTAACCAAGTGGGTCTGTGAAGGCTCTGGGGACTATGTGGGGACATTCTGGCTGATCTTACCCACCCTGCCAATCCTGCATCCCCCATGCACAGCTCACCACCCAGATATGCGCAGTTAAAGTGGCTGCAGGTTTGATTATAGCTCCAGAGAGTCACTATGTTCCGGGCTCCATCCTGGGAGAACCCAGTGACCAAGAAGACTTCATGGGGGGGAATCAGCACTTCACGCTCCTCAGGGAAGACAGACAAGGCCTGGATAGAGGCCCCAAAGCAAGTCCTTAGAGAGAAGAAGGTGGCATTACCAAACCCGCGCGCCACTGCCTCATCCAGGGAGCTGGAGGCAAACTGGCCAAAGCGGACCAGGTCCCCAAGCCTCTTGGGTTCAAACTGAAGGCTGCCCACGCCTCGAAACACCACTGCCCCAGGTTCCCTGCTGCAGCCTCCACTGCCCCGAAGCAGCTGCAGGGCTCGGGTCAGGTAGAAATGCAGGGCCTTGAAGGGGAAGTGCCTCATGTAGCGCTCCCGGGAGCCACCGCCCATGCGCACAGCCTGGTTTAGCTCCCAGTACAAGGTGTTAGATGAGTTGGTATAGACCATAATGGCTATTCCATGCTGGGCTTTGAAGCCAGGGGGCAGAGTGAGCCCTCGACGCCGGTGCTCCCAGGCCTCCTGGGCTGCCTCCCAGGACTCCCGCAGCAGGGCATGTTGGGCCATCTCCTCTTTTAGCAGGGCGGCTGCCTTCTCTTCCATGACCTCCAAGCAGCCCACATAGGCATCATCGAAAGTGTCTGGAGCCAGGCCCAGGGGCAGGATAGGAACAGCCTGGGCCTATGGACGTAAGGAAGAGAGGAGCCACAATAGGAAAGAATGTAAGTTCATAGCACTAGACAGGGGTCCTGGTGGCAGGCCAGCTCAGAACACAGAATCTCCTTCCTTTTTCTGGCAGTACGGGGGATTGAACCCAGAACCTCCTTGCAAATGCTAGAAAAGCACTCTACTGCTAAGCTCTATCCCAGGCCTTACTTTTTATTTTGAGACATGGCCTGGCTAAATTGCCCATGCTTGCCTTGAACTTGCGATCCTCCTGCTTCAGGCTCTCAAGTGGCAGGGATTACAGGCATGTGCCACTGTGCCCAGGTCAGAATCTCATTTCTCTGCCCAAACATCTGGTGTATGCAACTTGGCAAGGGCTTAAGTAGAGGCATAAACAACACAGGCTCTGGAGTTGGACTGACCTGGATCCAAACACCACCTAATAGCTGTGGGATCTTGGCAAGCCTCAACTTTTCTGAGCTTCAGATTCTCCACCTGTAAATGAAGATACTTCCAACCTCACAGCGATAATGTGAGGATAGTGTGAAGGTCACCTCTGCACAACCTAAAAGCTGTCCTGTTAGAAACGTTTCTGTACTCAGTGGGAAGGTGGGGCTAGATGACTCCAGGCACTTTCTGGCTCTGAGATTCAGTCCGCTGATGATAAACACAAAGCCAGTGTCCAACTGCCTGGCCCCATTATTCCCAGCCTCCTCAGACTCTCCCTCTCACCCTTTGGGAAGCCTTTGTGAGTACTCAACCACTACTCCAAATCACTGTCCCCTCTGAGATTCCTGAGTTTTCCTCTGCTTCAGACAGAAGCCTTTATCCTGCCGGGCGTGGTGGCACATGCCCATAATCCCCGCACTCAGAAGTCACAGTGGCAGGTGTGCTGGTGCACGCCTGTAATCCTAGCATTTGGGTGGCTGAGGCAGGAGGATCGCCACAAGTTCAAGGCCAGCCTGAACTATACAGTAAGACCCTGTCTCAAACAAAACAAAACAAGAAGCCTTTATCCCAAGCTTGGGGGTGAAGGGGCTTCCAGGTAACCCAAGGGGCTTGTGTGGGCTGAGCCCGTGAGGGGAGATGAGAATGGGGCAGGACAAACTTGGAGGCAGTCCCTAAAGAGGGCTGACAGGAAGGACCTAGGATCATAGGACCGGCTGTGGCTGTCAAGGGTGCTGGGACATGGAGTGGGAACTTGAGGTTCCTCGGGGATGGAAGTTCCTGAGAGGAGGAAGATTCAGTGGAATGGAACCACAGAGAGGTCACTCCCCAGTCCACCTCGTCAGGATCTGCGCCCCAACAGTTCCCCTTGGTGGCAAAGGATGGTTCCCGGAGTTACCTGCCAGAGGGTGTGGAGGCCGAGGCAGCTAAGGACGATCAGCAGAGCCTTCAGCATCCTTCCTGAGGAGTCTTGCACGGTGAGGTCTTGGTGAGGGTGAGACCTGCAGCGGCGGAGTCCCGGCTTCAATGGGCTCCAGCACCCTTCTTCCTACCACTTGAGGGGTCCTCGCTTCAGGTCTGCGGACCCAGGCTGGTGTGGGCGTGGCCTAGGGTGGGCGTGGCCTTAGAGTTTATTGTCCAGAGCACAAACTCCACCCCGGACTCCCCAGACTCCCCAGACTCCCAGACGCCCCCACACTCAGGATCTCTGGCCCCGGGATGTTTGGGGGATAGTAAAGGGGGGGACGTCGTAGGGTTGCACCTGGAAAGCCGGCGGGGACCGAGCACCCACCTGAAGGTTGCGGAGCTGAGCGGGAAGGAGCGCTGGTGCTTGCGGCAGGCAGCGGGGTAGAGTCCGGCGGGCGCGGCGCTCTCCGCGATTGCCACACAAAGTCCCCGCGGCTAACTATAGCCCCTGGGCGGTAACCCGACACCAGTCGCCCAACAACAGACGCGGGGCGTGGGGAGCGGGAGTGGCGGAGTGAGGGGCTGAGCGTGAAACTCCCCTGCCAAGGACCGTGGCTTCCTCCGCCAGAACCCTCGTGGCTCCACGAGGCCAGGATAGGGGAGGAACTTGTGAGACTCTGCCTCACAAGGGTCAGCCAGGCCCTGACCCTCCCGCCCGGCCCCCAGACCACTCGGCCGGGGAGCCGCGCGAGGGTCGCCCCGCGGAGCTGCCGCTTGCCGGGAGGGGGCCACGCGTGCGCTCGCTGATTTGCATATGATTTGCATGTGGCCTGCCTGTTGGTCACGTTTGCGCATCTGCGCAGCCCCTGCTCCCCTCCATCCTCTTTATCCTCTGCCCCTTCCCCGGGGGAGGGGTGAGTCAGGGGCAGAGCTCTCGCCTGGGGTCTCAGGGTCCATCCCGCCCCATCCCTGCTGTGATCTCAGACTCTGGCGACACCGTGTTTGTAAACACTAGCTTCCTGTCCCAGAGCCTCTGGGCCAGTCTATAAATAACCTGGCTCTGAGTTTTGGATGCCCAATTAGGGGTAACTGGAGAAGGGGCCAACTGAAGAATCAGTAGGTGGCGCAGGGAGGAGCTTCCCGTCAGCCTGGGCCTGGAGGAGGGGTGTCCTTCCCCGGAGCAGGAGGGCTCCTGAATGTCAGGATCTAGGAGATGCTGCCTGCTGGGCTGGGACGGGCATGGCAGGTTAGACCTATCCAAAGGATTCCATCCTGGTCTGGCTCATTAATTTATCCCATCCCCTGGTTGTCAGGCAAATAAAGTTTCCTTCACGCAGAATCCTGCTTTGTTTGTTTTTCCCTAAAACGCTTCTTGAAGACCAAAAAATGAGAGGAAATGTGTCCAAGAGGAAGTAGGAGGAGGATGCTGAAAAGAGTGGCTTCCCCCCAAACAGAGCACAAGTTCTTTTACCCGCTTTTAATGAGACTAGACGGCCCAGGTCCTCCTCGGTCACAAAATCAGAGCTCACTCTACTGTTCACAGTTCTTGGAGAAAAACAGCACCTGGCCTGCACGTCCTGCCCTCCCCTCTCGTGGAGGCACCAGTGTTTGGGGTTTTTGCAGATAGGAGATGTGAGGCCATAGCCGGGCCTGCTGGGACAGCCCCTGGAGCCGGACTAACTTGTGCTCTCTCCGCCCTCTGGCTTTGGGGATTGCTTCTCCCATCCTAAGACCTGGAACCCCCACAGGGCCCCAAGAGATAGAGTCAAATACAGTCCTGGAGCCTGGGGGAGTCCTCCCAGGGCGCAAGCAAGTCCCGGCTGGAGCAGAGATATAGAATCCAGGCCCCTTAGTCTAAATCTATCCTGGCACCTCAAGTGAGTCTCAACGCATATGAAAGAAACAAAATGAAGGAGATGGCCTGGGGCCAGGGGTGCTGCAGCACCTCTCTTTCCTCTCCTGGGCTGACCGGAGAGAGAGTCTCAATCCAGGGAGGAGGCAGTTGTCCCAGCAGCGATCTTCCCTGCCTCAGCCCACCTTCCCTCAGTCAACAGGGTCTTTTCGTGTTTCCTGTGGCGAGCATAAGCCCAGGTCAGACTGGGCAGAAGCTAGTGCTCTGGAGTCTTGAGGAAACATCCAGAAATAGATGGGGGAGTGTCACATTTCTGAGCAGCTGTGTGGGGGAGGTGGAAGGGGTGGAGAGCTGACAGTATAAAGCAGAGCTCTGCCCTGGTGACCACTGCAAGAGACCAACACCAGCTTCCCCACCCTGGAGAAGGCCTAGGTAAGGGGCTTGCCACCCTCCTCCTGGGCAAGGGGCAGGGAAAGAGTTTTTGAGCTGGAATTTCAGGGAATTAGTGGAGCTTTAGGGGACATAAAAAAAAGTTTAGTATTTGAGGGACAGGTCTGAGATACCTAGGACGGTTTGGGGACATGGGAGATTTGGGGGCTCTTGAGAGATTTAGGATCACATTCTCAAAAGAGTGTTCAGCAAGGGCCTGGAAGAGGAGAAATGACAAGAGAATCACCCTGAGTGAGATGAAAGGAAGGACAGAAAGGGTAGCAACCTTGGCTATGGAAAGTGATTGCCCAGTGACTCGACTTCCTCACTTCCCACCCCCTCCTGGTCACACTGGTCCCCACTTTGCCTCCCCACCCCTGACACTGCCTGGGGTCAGCAATCCACCTGCCTTGCAATACTCTGCTATGTCGGTGGTGTCCAGAAAGCCTCCCAGTCTCGCAGCAAATATTCCAGGGGCTTCATCTGTTCCCAGCTTGGGTTGAGCCCTGAGGACACAGAATAGAGTTATGCATGTCTCTGGCCTCAAGGAACTCATGGGCCAGGAGGGGAGGTGGAGCACACACAAGGGCAGCGACAGAGGACAGCACAGAGGGATGTGCAAGCTTAGGTGAGTCAGAGGGCTTCCTGAAGGGGCCACCCTGAGCTCAGCCTTGAAGAGCAGGCAGCCAGGAGGAGGGCGGCCCAAGCTGAGGGGAAACAGCAGAGCACCGCGTGGAACTTTGTGCTACCCTGGAGAAGCCAAGCAGGGGTGGTAGAGTGTGGGCTAAAGAGGCCACAGAAGGCCAAGTGACAGAGGGCCTCAGAGACCAAGCTGAAGAGTTTGACATAGTGAGCCCTTCCCGGTCCTCACTGCAGCCCAGGACGTTTACATTGTAACCCCATGGAAAAGTTACTGGAATTCTAGTGAGTTAATTCCAATCTACCACTTCCAGTGCAGTCTATGGCGAGAATAAAGACACTAAGATGTATTCGTAGTTTTGGGGAGCCAAGAGGTCCAAAGTCTAGCTAGGATGATGGCTATCTGGAACAAAGGCCTCGACCCAGGGCTTTATTAATTCATGAAGGAAGGAGTGGCTTGAGCATGAGTGACTGTGAGAGTGGTGGGAAGCAGGTGAGAGCTGTGAGCTGGGCTAGGTAGGAGGCCTGAAATCACCTCTGCGATATGCAGCAACAAGGATATGCAGAAAGAGTAATCTGCATAACACAACTGAAGTAGTATGTGCTGTTTTGGGGTTGGTGCTTCAGCTCTGATGTGACATCTTTTATGCCCTGGGAAGTCATAGCCTCTTATCTGAGGCTGGATCCCCGCTGACAGTGTGGAGCATGGCGCTCCATGCTGCGTCCTCACACACGTTTTATTTGGGAGCTAGTGGGTTGGGGAAGACACCGCCCTGTTGTCTTTGCTTCAAAGACTACACATCAGCACCTTGGCTGGACTGATATGCATTGCTTAAAGCCAATTGAAGGGATAAGGAGAAGTCCTAGACAGCTCTGCACACATCCATACACGGAAATAGGGTCAGGTTCAGCCAAAATGGAGACAGTTGCTCCTCCTTCAGAGAGTCAGCCAGGTGGTCCTCCACAGTTGGACTCTATCCTGAGGGAATGGAGGGATGTCTTTGTTTTTCTGCTTCCTAGAAAAACGTTATGCATTTTCAGTGTGTATTGTGAGCTAGTTCTTCCAGTCGGTTTTAGCACAGAGTTTTCAATTGGGAAAGGAAAATGAAAAACGACCAGAACTGGGCTTTAGGAACCGCTTTCCCTGCTCTGTGGCAGGTGGTCTAACAGGGGTAAGGAAGAAGCAGAGACGCCTGCGAGGAGGCTGTGTAACCCTGAGCAGGACTGGGAGCGTGGGGATGGGCCAGGGGAAGGAGGAGCTAGGAGGTGTCCTGCATTAACTGGCAACTACAGTGGTGTTTGATTGATCACTGAACCCAGATGACCACCTTGGGTGGCTGGGTCCCATAATGCGGATGCTGTGCTTGTTACATGAGACCCTTCTGACGCCAAGTGAACAGGAACTGCCCCGAACTAGGTTAAGCCTTGAGGGGATTTTTAAAAATTGAGACAGGGTCTCACTATGTAGCCCAGGCTGGCCTCGAACTCATGGTGATCCTCCTGCCTCAGCCTGCCCAGTGCTGAGTTTATAGGCATGTGCTACCATGCCAGCTTTCAAGGAGAATTTATCACAAGGACACCAGGGTGTTTTACAGAGCCCAAAGCCCAGAAGCAAAGAGCTCCTAGTAACCCAAGAAATACTCTGGCTCTACCTGAGGTTTGACTTACCCTTCTGGCTACTCTTTTCTCTTTCCTCTTTCCCTGGGGCTCTCATCCCTGCTCTGATTTCAATATATTGGCTCTTCATTATCCATCTGCTACCTCTTGGACATCTGCCCCTGGAACGTTCACATTTTCCAAAGTGAACTCACCATTTCACCTCTAAGCCTGAGCGTTCATTCAGTGCACTCTTTCTTTTTCGGTACCAGGAATTGAACTCAGGACCTTGCACTTGCCAGGTAGGCACTTACACCACTGAGCTATATTGCCGGCCCCACTTTTTTTTTTCTTAAAAAATTTGTGTGTCTGATTTATTGCCCTTAAAATCATGGTCTTGCCCAGGATATAGCTCAGTGGGCCTGCTTCTTTTTTTTTTTTTTTTTTTCCTCCGGTACCGGGAACCGAACTCACGACCTTGCGCTTACCAGGCAGGAGCTTTGCTGGTGAGCTAAATCCCCAGCCCCACAAGTGCCTGCTTCTCAAGAGCAAGGTCCTGAGTTCGATTCCCAGTCCCAAAAAAAGAAAAAAAAAAAAAAAAAGAAAGGTTTATTTGCTGGGCGTGGTGGCGCACGCCTGTAATCCCAGCACTCAGGAGGCTGAGGCAGGAGGATCGTTGCGAGTTTGAGACTAGCCTGGGCTACGAAGTGAGTGTAAGTCCACCTGAACT